GGTCTGAAAAGTCGCTAAATATAGCGAAAAAGTCGCTGAGTTTGCAACACTGCTGCACCTGCGGCGCTGACTCGCTCTGCCGTATTTTTTTTTCTTCCCCCATTTCAGTCAAGTGGCAGTGATGACGGCGGCGGCGGATGACGCATTAATCGCGCGACACAACTAATCGATGATGAAATTCGTTGCCAACGCTTTTAAAAGTCGATTTTTATCGATTTTATAAAATTCGTTGTTGCAGCCCTAAAGACTATATCTAAGATGGCTGTCAAAAACAACGCAGCTCTGAACGCCTTTAAAGTATTTATTTTCTTGGTGCATCAGTCTTATGTTCGTCCTCACATGTCCGTCTGCTCCATGTCCCTCAGGACCATGGGAGGCGTCAGCGTCCAGGACCCGTTCTCTGAAGTCAACGATCCAGCCTTTCACAATAAACGAGGCCCGGGGCCCGGTGGTGGCCCCTACCAGCAGGGAGGGGGTCCAGCAGAACCTCCAATGCGGATGCCCTACGATGCCATCAAAGACCCGTATGGAGGCTCTAGGAAGGGTGAGGAGTGAAGCTCTTTCTCTGCCCACAGAGATTTGCTGCATTTTTCCACCTAAATCAGCAACACTTCTGCTCCAGAGCCTCCTGTTTAACACGTGTGCTCTGCTGCCCTCTGGTGGCAACATCTACACATTGTTCTGTTCACTTACATCCACATTGCATCACCACTGACTCTCCATCAGGATCATCATCGCTCAGTTTTTTTCCTCCCAGGCAGAAAAACAGTTTCAGCTCAGATGTTAAACTGGATCCACAGACGGATTTTATTCCTCTTTCTTCTTCTTCAGGTCCAATTCCTGGCGAGGCCTTCGGTCAGAATCAGATGTCCAGTGGTGCAATGCAGGACATGTACCTCCGTGGACCATCCTCTGCCCCCTTAACAGGGATGGGGCCCAGACCGCAGTTCCCCTACGGCCCCGGCTACGATCGGAGGTAGGACCCTTCTAGAGTGTTCCTCTTCTAGGATGTCGGCCTGGTGCCAACCTAAAGCTTCTGTGTAACGATGTCCTGCAGACTGGACCATGTGATGGCATCAGAGGGAGGAATAGTGCCCCCTGCAGGTCAGAACAGCATGGGCCCGTCTTCAAATGAAGCTAGCATGTATCCCCCCAACAGATACGCCCCCCAGAGGTAAGAGGAGGCTGCAGGATGTCAACAATCTACAGCTGATTCAGTTCATATATTTAACATTGAGCTGTTCCTCATGTCTATGAGGAGCAGGGGCGGATTTAGGAAATTTGAGGCCCTAGGCAAAGACAGGCAGGGGGCCCTCTAAACTGAGAAGACAACACATAAAACAGACCCATTCTACAGATACAGACATGTTAATAGAAGACTGATCCAATATGGTGGACACTGAGGCTATTTTAAGTTCTGATTTAGCCAAAGGATTTTTATCAAAAACATAATGAGGATGATGAGGATTACTCATTTATCAGTGCCTATCTGCAAACTAAGGTTGCAGAAATGATCTGTTTGGTAATAATAATGGATACTAAATCTTTTTTTGTTTATTTTTCAATAGATAATCAATATAAAAAGAAACAGTTGGCAGTTTTAACATGGTGAATAAAGAAAAAATGAATCAAGAGGCAAACGTTGACATGTTTAGTGGTCATTTCCTGTTAGAGACGAGTGAAAGTAATAACTTAACTCCTGGTAAAAAATATAAACCAGACAGAAGCTCCTGAGTGGAGAAAATTCGGCAGCTTTTAAAATGCTTCAGAGGTTATAGAACCGCATTAAAGAGACCCTAAACGAGAGTCTGTCAGCTTCTATAAACTTCTTTGTTTGTTAATTTGATGACATGGTAATCTGGATGAATAATGCTGGTGAAGATTCTCCATCATCCAGGTCATAGTCTTTCGAAAAAGGTTAAAAAAAAAACAATCCACTGGACTTTTTTTCCAAGTTTGAAGACATTTCGCTTCCCATCCAGGACGCTTTCTCAACTCTAAATGTTAGCGTTGAGTTCAAGGCTATAGGAAAGAAAAACCAACCTTAAATAGAGGGGCTGAACTCGGATTTCAGCTTTCAATAACCTACAATGCAGCGAGAGAGTTGATCCCTTCCCGCTATCATCCCCACCCCTTTACAGAGCAACAGAAGACCTCGCCTGTTCAGCCAGGCCAACAATTCCCTCTAACGACCCTCCTTTCAGAGACATAGACAGGTATGGGGCATTGCAGGCTAACAAAGAAGCCAAACGACCCCCCCTTTCAGAGGCATAGACAGGTATGGGGCATTGCAGGCTAACAAAGAAGCCAAACGACCCCCAACGCCAAAGAGGGGACCCGTTTTAATTTGCATTTTTTTTCTAGGCCAAAAACAAGGTTTTGTTAGGCTACTCTATAAAGCCTCAAACTCATCACTATTTCCAGAGGTGTCAAATAACGAAGTACAAATACTTCGTTACTGTACTTAAGTACACTTTTTAGGTATCTATACTTTGTACTTTCTATTCCTTACATTTTTTAAAACAAACGTTAGTCTTACTTTTGGCTTTGGTTTAATGTTTCTAAATCTTTATTTCCCGTCATGTGCTCCATCCACATCTAGTCAAAACTAGTGGAATTGGCCTGAATCATAGAACACTCATTGGTTAGCTAAAGGAAATCATCAGAAGCAAGCAGGTGTTCTTCCAACTGCTAACGTGAATTGTCTATGCCATGCTACAATGTGGGATTCAGAAAAAGATGTTGAAATGTCTGAAAGGTCGGACACAGGCGAGAGCGTATCGGGAGACGGAGACCAACCAGACCTCCCTCATCCTTGGCCCTATCTCAGAGGATTATTCTAAATAGTCAAAAAATTGAGCTTTTAAATCATATAGCGGCTTCTGGCTGTTTTTTTTTAAAGGTTACTTTATACTTTTATACTTTAAGTCGGTTTTGGAGCGCATACTTTTTCACTTTTACTTGAGTAAAGAGGTCAAGTTGATATTTCAGCTTTTACCAGAGTGTTTTTAAACTGCAGTATCTATACTTCTACTTTTGACACGACTGACTATTTCTGACATTTTGAACTGAAAAAGGTTCCTGGATGGGAAGCGAAACGTCTTCAAACTTGGAAACAAAGTCCAGTGGATTGTTTTTTTTCTAACCTCTATGGATGAATAATCCAAGGTGTTGATAAAGTTTGGTTTCTCTCTTCAGGCACGAAGGCTTCGGTCAGCAGTATCACGGTGTGGCCTACAGTTCCCATCAGCCCCTCTACCCTCAGCAGCAGGTGAGTTCTGCCGCAGGTTGAACCAGGCTGGTCACATGATGCGCTCGTTTCTGAACGGAGAGACTCCATCTTGTTCTGTTTAGGTTAGGATCCATCTGAAGGTTAATCTGGTTAAAAAGTCCGGTTGGTTCCTGCTCAGTTTGGCACATCAGAGCCGTTCACCCTGGAAACCTGATCCCAGGTCAGACTTGGGGCCCCTGTTTGGGCCCCGGTCTCTAACAGGTTCTGGTCTTTCCTCTGCAGGGCTACAAGCGCCCCATGGAGGGGATGTTCCCCGCCGCTAAGCGTCATGAGGGCGAGGCCTTCGGCGTGCAGCAGTACGGCTCTCAGCAGCCGGACCCTTATGGCCCCTTTGGATCAGGAGCCGGGGGCTACTCGGGCCCCGAACGTCGGCCCGTCCCCGGCCAGTACCAGTACCCTTACAGCCGAGACAGGCAAGGCCCCCCGCAGCATGGAATGATGGGTTCGGGCCCCACAGCGGGGCCTGGGGGCCCTGGAGAAGGGCCACAGCCCAACGTTTGGCCCCAGAGGACAGACCTGGGTTACACATACAGCCGGCAGGGCCAGGGGCCCCCCTTCACCAGCATGAACAGAGGGGACGACCAGGAGGGCAGGGCCCCCCAGGACGGCCAGTGGCCCCCCGGTCCCCTCACCCAGCGCCAGCCTCCCTTCCCCCCCCACTCCTCCTCCTCTTCCTCCATGCCCCCCCTCCCCTCCCGGCAGCCCCCCTCCTCCTTCCAGGCCACGCCCACCGTCCCTAACCACGTGGCTCGGTCTCAGAGCCCCTCGTCTTTCCCCCGGCCCCCAGTGGGCTCCCTGTCCCCCAACAGCGGCCCCTACATGTCCTCCGCTAAGAAACCAGGGCTGCCTGGGGCCCCGGCCGGGCCCCCGGCCTCTCAGGGCCTCCCCCTGGTCTACAGAGAGGTCAGCTTCCCCCCCGGGTCGGTGGAGGCCACACCCCCCAAAGTGAAACCACGGAGACGGCTCACAGCCAAGGACACAGGTAGGACCGCCACACACAGAGACACGGGGACACGAGGAGACGGAGGGACGCTCACTCTGTTATCTGATTGGTCAGGAACCCCGGAGGCGTGGCGAGTGATGATGTCACTGAAGTCGGGCCTGTTGGCAGAGAGCACCTGGGCGCTGGACACCATCAACATCCTGCTGTACGACGACAGCACCGTGGGCTCCTTCAACCTGACGCAGGTAACCCCGCCGCCGCCAACCCGCCGCCGCCATGTTCTATCCATCAGAACCTGACCTGTTTTTCTCCTCCTGCAGCTGCCAGGATTCCTGGAGCTCGTCGTGGAGTTTTATCGCCGCTGCCTCATCCAGATGTTCGGGATCCTCCAGGAGTACGAGGTGGGACCCCAGGCGGGGCCCCCCACTGACGACATGGAGACATCTGAGGACGAGGACGTCAAACCCGTCCCCCAGCGGGAGGTCACGGAGCAGACGGAGCCCCGCCCTCCTCAGAGCAGCAAGTACGACAAGCGGCCGATCAAGGTGGAGGAGACGGGGGAGAGCTGGGAGGAGGCGGAGCAGCGCTGGAGCGCGGCGGCTCGACCCGACGGCTTCAGCAGCGGCCTGCTGCACTGGAAGGCCGGAGGCGGAGACTCCACGGCTCACATCCAGACGCACTTCGAACCTCGGACCGACGACTTCACCCCCCCAGAGCCGGAGAGGGAGGAGGGAGGGGGCCCCCCAGAGGAGGAACAGCCCCAGAAAGAAGGAGGTAAAGATTAGAACAGCTTTCCTTCATGATCTGGAGAAATGAAAACAAAACAAAAAAACAGACACCGATTCTATTAAGGATGGAACGGTTTATGAAAACCGTCCGAACCGTTCGGTTCGACTGTCTCGGTTCAGTTCGCGTGTGTTGCGTTCGGTTCATACGCCGCTCCTTTTTCTCATAGGCGAAGCGTTTACACTCCAGAGCAGAAGGTGGCGGTACTGCGACCAAAGCCAACCACCAGTAGTAAACAAGAAGAAGAAGAA